TATATATATATATATATATATATATATATATATATATATATATATATATATACACTATTCTCTCCTACTTACCATCTGTTAACAATGAGACTTACTATTGAACCGTCGAAGTCAACAATACAGGAGAACACCAAGGTGTGAAAACGTGCAATAAAAATAGTCAGCTGTCCGGCTGAACAGTTCATTACATGCGTATGAAGATCCATGCCGAATATTAGAGAATAAACAATGGCATGTAAAATAATGAAATGTTGTGGAACTATTGCTCGCGCTCCTCTTATTTCGCGAGTTTTAAATAAAGGTTTTAAAATATTCACTACTATTTGCTTAGTTTATGTTAAAATATTAAATTTCAGAATTTAATTTTTTTGTTATTTCAGGTCCAAATTTTTCTCATAGTATTTTACAACATAATTTTAAACTACCACAAGTGCAGAATTCATTAATTAATGTTCGAAATGTTTCATTTTTTAATCGATGTAAGTAATAAAAGAGTTGAAAGGACTAATATTTAAATTGTGGACAGATTCATAAAATATGATTTAAATGAATTTCAGATCCTGCTGAACGATTATGGAAAAGTGCGACAAGTGTTAGTAATGCAGGAAAAAAGCGAGGAAGAGGTAAATCAAGGAGAATGATAAAAAATTTGAACAGAGGACAAATAATTGGTGTTGGAAAAGTTAACATGGTTTGGCCAGGTTTAAATGCTCCTATAGTAAGAGGAAGAGAGCTCGTGGAGCAAAAACAACTTCCAGAAAATCCTGAAAGAGAAAAACAACTTTTTAAGTTAAGAGATTCAATTGCAAAAAAGAGAAAAGTTAAATTACATCCACTAGAGAGGGGTTGGACCGGTGGAAAACCTGGCGGAAGAAAAATTGGACCACCAGATCCTGTTGGCACTGGTTTTTATAAATTTCAATATTATATATAATACTTAACATAATTACATATTAATATGTACTAAAATTGGTTTACATATTTTGTTTACAGAAAAATTTGAAGGGTTTGAATCAGTTATTTTGGAATACAAACTAGTTACTGTCATGACTGGAAATATGGGTAGAAAAAGAAGAGTGAGCGCTATGGTTATAACAGGCAATAAGAATGGCTTGGCAGGGTTTGCTGTATCCAAAGCATCTGAAGGGAAATCGGCGTTAAGAATTGCTAAAAATCGTGCTGCAATGAAACTTATGTTTATTAACAGATATAAAGAACATACCGTATTCCATGATTTTTTCTGTCAATTTGGAAAAACTAAAATTTTTGTTACAAAAAAAGGTGAAGGATATGGATTGCGTTGTCACAGAGCCATTAAAAGTTGCTGTGAAATTATTGGAATAAAAGATTTACATGCTAAAGTTGAAGGATCTCATAATTTGCAACATATTATTAAAGCTTTTTTTATTGGTTTATTGCAACAGGTATAGTCATAATTACTTTTATTATTAATTAATATATGTTTTAACATTGAACTAATAAAAGCTCTTTTAATGAAATTTAGAAAACACATGAGCAGTTGGCTGAAGAAAAGAAAATGCACCTTGTTGAATTTAGAGATGAAAATGATGATTTCCCAACCGTAGTAGCTTCTCCTGCCCAAGTAAGGAAAGCAGAGGAAATAAAGTCAGATGAAATTATGGATTTTACTCAATACGTTATGGGGGGTAAAGTAGTGTTAAAAAAGAAAAAATTTCCTCCATTTTTTCATCGCCTTCCTTCGTGGACGATTAGGTTACGAAAGACAGCATATTTAAGAAATAAGGATGAAGTAAGAACACGTTTGTATGCTGAACACGGAGAGTTAAGAAGTTTCTATACCGACAAATATCCAGAAGCAAAACCTAAGCTATGGAGTAAAAATTTAAGAAAAAAAGAGGAAATTGAATTTGAATAAATTTACAATTATAAAAGATCTTGTATACGAATAAATTGGTTAAAAAAAAAAAAAACAGAAAACCAATTATTTATAATCCGATATTGCTTTTTCAGCACAAAAATAAAGCAAATAAATTTTTTTACAAGTTTTTCCATAATCGCATCAGCTTAACTAATTTGAGTTTATTGAAAAATTGAACTAAGTTGAACAGACAGTCTAGCCGACTTTTTTAATCTATTAAATTGTTCAGTCTCAATGTAATATATAATGACATTAATAACTCAATTAATTAAAGTATACATCGTTAATAAATCATGACATTTATATTATCACAAAATTGAGTTAATATTGTCCTAAAACACCAATTTAAACGTAGTATTATTTAAAAATATTTGAAATAAAAGATTTTATGATTCAACAATAACAAGTTTAACAAACAAAATCTATTGTAATATGTTTATTATTTAATAATCATCATTTATTTATTTATTCGATAGTTCGTTAAAAAGTTGCAATTTTTATTTCAAATTGATTTTCTGACGGGCTAAAGATTTCAAACGACGAGCATCTCGATTTAAACAAAAGTGATAAAAACAATCTGCAAAATTTAATTTCTATAAAATAAGGAACTGAAAAGTAAACTTTGGTAGTTTGAGAATAGTTGACATATGATTCTTCGATATTATTGGAGTTGTGGTAAAAAATATCTACCTTTCATTTTGACTAAATTTCACGTCATCAAATCATTATAGAGTGCATTAGTAGAACTGATTATAAACTGGGATCGAAAATTGAAGAATGATTCATGATATTCGAGAATGTTTTGGTATACTTATCACATTCCACTTTACTGTATTATTAATTATTCCTTTGTTGGTCGACTAGACGAAAATTACGTCCTAATACTGGTTAAGCTTCAAAGGGTTAGTATATCGCTTAGTTGATGGAATATTAGATTTAAGTTTATCTCAGTTAAGAACATGGGTTTTTGTTGAATTACATATGAGCGTTCTCTATATTCTTACTTGAATAACGCTAAACACTATTGTTATAGTATAAAATAAATAATAACACATTTAAATAATAATTGTTTATTAAACTTAAATAATTATCAATTGAATATACGCTCTGAATTCCATGAATTATTAAATTCAACCATTCAAATTAAATAGTTGCGATTCGTATGTAATTATTTATTCTAATGCGTATTTATATACTTATATCTCTTAAATTTACTTTATTCAAACGTTTAGTAATTTATATTTAATCTTAAAAATAGAAACGCATCCGTGTAAGTAGTTACTTTAGTTAAACTTATTGGCAATTTATATACAATACAATATACTCTTGGCATTTATCTGTTACACAATAAAGTTCTTTAAAGTATCAAGTGTGACTTGATTTTTTTTTTCAGATTTATTCATTTTCATTTTTTTTTCTTGGTCACGTGAGAAAAATCAAATAAAGAGTGCGAATAACGTTTTTTCGATTTTAATTCACGTAAATAGTTTATATTAATTAATGGTATACATACTCGTTATAAAAGCAACCAGATCGAGTAATAATCTATCATCATTACTTAAATCATCTTTCATACTTAATCAAATTTTAATTTCATATAAAGTAACAATTATAGTATAGCCTATTTAAACGTAAGAAAGAACTTGATAGTCACAGCTCAAGTAGAAAATTATAGTATTTTTGTATTTATCCAATCATTTTTAGTAAAGAAATGTAATACCAAAAAAAAAAAAAAAAAAAAATAAAATAAAATAAAATATGAATATCTTAAACTTACTAATAATTATTTAACTGTTTACTTTTTAGCTTTAAATATTTGACATATTCATTATAAATTGAGTTTTTAAACTGAGGTGTTTAATTTAATAGGATATTTTTGTCATCTTACATTAATTTCAGTCGTATTGTTCAACACTACAAATAGACTTTTCAAAAGATCCAACAATCTTTGTTATTAACTTTCATCAGCTATTCACAAACATTTGATACCATTTTCTCCATTTCAACATCTGTATCAATTTCATGATGAATGTGATTGCTGCCTCCGACATTAGTTACCGGAGTAGCTATTGTCACTGTTGATGATGTATTTGTTGGCGGTGTATTTGGCGTCCCAGACATTTCTAATGGTGAGCTTGGAGATTGCAAAGGTTCAACTAGATCTTCAAGGCCCTGAGGTGTTGGCAGTTTATTAAGAGCGTCTCTCAAAAGTCTATAGTGTCTCTATAAAATTTATAATTCAAATATAGAAGATTGTTATCGAATAGTTAAAAAAAAAAAAAAAAAATAAAAATAATAATAATAATAATATTAACCTTCAAAGCCAAAGCATTAAGGGAAATCGTACGAGCAGAACGTTTATCAGATCCATACGTTTCCATGTCCATAATCCAACTTTCTAATTGGGCTACTATTTCATGTCTCTTTATCCAGAAATGCGTGTGAATAACCTGAAAATTTGTATTATTTTTATTAATGAACAATTCAATACACTGTAAATTAGAAAAAGAAAAAGAAAATTATTTATTTCTAAGTAAAAATTTCAAAACCGAAAGTATTGTTTTAATTTTCGATATAAGATGGCCTTAAAAAAACAATAAACAATGAGTTTTTTAATAAAAAAAAATTATATGGCTTTTTTCGATTCTCACGTTATAATTATTTGAGGCAGCAAATTTGAATAAAAATCTTTTCTTCATAATTTAATTACTATTTTTAACAAGAGATTGGTAAAAATTTCTTTCAATTTTTTAGACTTTTTAGCCTTGTCTACATATTAATTAGTTTCCGTAATGTTTTTAAACAATAACTTACATCTTTAAAACATGGGCATGGATTTTTAATTTGATCAAGCATTGCCCATTTAACAGTCGCCAAACAAATATTAGCATTATATTCTTGACTAGATTGAGCACCACTAGCAGTTCCGCGAGACCTTTCATAACCTGGTTCGTTAAAATAAGGTTCGGGTACTAAGATTAAAGATTGAATGGACACCAAAACCTGTTAAAAAAAAAAAAATAATAATAATGTTGAATGTAATAATTATATTAAAAACTATTTATTGAAAACATTATTTTTAATTAATTACCTGTAGAAAACTACTAGTATGAGCGTTCCATTTTTCTTCGGGTCTGCCATGCCAAGTATTCAGTACACTGAGGCAAACTTTCCCATCATTATACAAATTAGGGTTGAATCGTACAGTGTGTCGACCAGTTGTTTCAAGATTGATTAGCATTGGGCTGTTTGGATATTCAGGTGGAAAATAAACATCAAATTCAAAACAACCATTGGCATATGGTGTTTCTGCTGGACCTGTTATTAGAACTTTCATAATATCTAATCTATCAGTATCGCATCGAACAAAGACACTACTACTATAAGATAATGGCAAAGCGGTCGACAATGTTACAGCTTCTTGAGCTAATCTTTTGACTCTTATAGGATGACTTCTATCTCCCGCCGCTCTCATATTTGACTCAAAATGATAAGATACTGCAAATCGGTATCCACTACCATCAGAATTTTCTGATATCATTTCATATGTGTCAAATTGAAGATTTTTCATCACATCTAAATACCGTTGTTCTATGGATTTTAAAGGTAATTCAGTAACAGTAGGGCTTGGACTGACAAGCTCTTCACCAATAACAACAAGTCTTGAAGTCGCATTTTGCACTAATGTTGCACTTTCTTGGATATCAGGTATTAATGTTGTTAATCCTTCATCTTGCTCTGTATCGTCTGGGTACTTAATAATACCTTTTAATTTATTACTACGCGAACGATTGATTTTATGAACGTATGTATCTACACAAATTCTCATAGTAGAAAGAAGTGAAACAATAGATGGATCATTTGATTTACCAATTCTTGGCAGTAACAATAAAGCTAATTGCGGAGATAGTGCCATTGAGCGTAGTAATTGAAGAACTGCGCGGTACAGTGGAATATGACGTGCCATGTCTAAAACTGAATCATTTCTCAAATACGATGATAACGCTGGAAGAAGGCACGATCGGGATATAAGCTCGGCAAAAGTCGCAGGAAGTTCACGTTGTGGATGACTTCCAGAACCAACGTAGCTTGCTAATACTCGAAGAAGAATAGTAACATGCTCTTCTTCCGAACGCTGACGTAACAGTGCTTGTTCTACATTCCAAGATTGTTGAGTTGATCCTGTTCCAAATCCAGTACCTTTTGCCCAATACAAATGAGATTTGTCATCGCTACGGCTATTGGTTTGACTATTTTTTTGGTCTGATAACTCATTGTATCCTGTTTGATGAGTAAAGATTGCCAAACAATTAAGTAGTAAAAGAATCGCACCAATATCAACCATAGTTCGTCGGAGTAATAAACCATCGTCAGTTGTCAAAGGTGTTGCTTTTAATAGTTGTTTTAAAACTTGAAAAGGTAAAGTTGGTAAGGAACTAGCTATTTGTGAGTTGAATACATCTCCACCTTCTCCATCATCTACTACACCTAAAGCCAGTCGTAACAAACATTGTGCTTGCTTTCTGTTTTTTAGTAATACTTCAGCATAACCGGGAAGTCTAAGGAATAATCCAAATGCCGTTAAGGAATGCAGTGGTACATGGGGAACTGAAGAAGTTGCCCGAGATGAATGTAAATTTCCACCTTCCTCTAAATCTTCATAAACATCTTCATTGGTTTCGACTTTCACCCATTCAGTCTCAGTTTGTTCAGGTAGCGAGGTCTTTTCTATGAATGCTCGAGGTTGACTTGAATCAGGATAAATAAGAGGAAGATGTTTTGCTAATACTGCGAGACCTCCAGTTGCACTGAAAACACTTAAAGCACTTTCTATACAACGATAAGTCAATAAATCACTGTCATCTAATTTAATTGAATCATCTTTGTTGTCTTTGTTACGTTGATGAAGTACCAGGTGTAAATATGGACTTGATAAAGATAATCCATTGTCTTCTGCTATTGCAAGTAACTGTGCAATACTTAGTGATGATGGTAAAACTACGTTCGGCCGAGACGAGTGGGATAAATATTGTTGAGTTAACGAATTTATAGAACTGTCTTGAGTACTAGTGGTTGTACTTTTTGACGATGATGATGATGATGAAGTTACATCTACGAAAGAAAATAATAATAATAATAATAATAATAATAAATAATACAATTAATAATTAATATAAAATATAAAATATAAAATATAAAAACTAGCACCAAATAAACCAAAACGATTTCATGGGGAAAATTTTATAAATATAGTATGTAACACAACTGAGGCAAAAAAATGTTTCAATTAAGGAGACAAGGATAAAAAAATGATTATTGCTTTCAAATGAAATTAACAAGTTGAACCAATTATGGAATCATACCCGAGTCTACACGGGATTTTCTTATAGTAGGTCCACGAGCTTGTGATTTATTCGAAGCTTCTTTAGCTCGTTTATCCTTGGCAGTATTTCCAGCTGCAACACTTAATTTGTCCACCACCAAAACCAGACTTGATTCCCAAAGCTCCCGCGAACACTTTGTTCCGGTTGTAATAGTTTCATTCTCCTTAAAGTTATTAGGTAGTAGCAAAGTGAGCCAAGAACCTGTGTTACCACAGATGTGAGATTTGTTGTATTTAAAATCTTTAATTTCGAAAACTTTTAGAATATTTGAAAACAAAAAAAAAAAAAAGAACTAAATTTTATATAAACTTAAATACTTTAGTACATCGATTTTTATAACCGCGAGGGAGATTATTTTCATCAGCAATTAAGAAAATAGATATTACAAATATAAATATGTATAATACTCTGCATTATATTTATTTACCTGAAACTTGTTGTAAAATGTCCGCCATTGTTGATTGCGTTGAAATATAAAGCAATTGATGATAATGCCCTAATGGATGAGCTGGATGAGGAAACATTGATCGTATAGTTTGATTTGATGCATTGTTTGACATTGGAACATCTGATACTACAGACACTAATACTTTCTCCTCTTCTAATAACAATTGAAGAATCAACCGTCGAGTGAATCCAGAAATACCAAGTAGATATTTCATGTTAACTAAAACGTAAAAAAAAAATTTTTTTTCTTTTAATCAAAAGTATTAAAAATCAAGGTATTAACTTATTACGCAAATAAAAAATCTCATATTCTCATAGGAAATATCATAGTAAGAACAAATATACATTGAGTTTCATAGATTATATGAGGTTTCATAGATAAATTTTTTTTTGTCATTTTATAGAATCTTTTGATTGGAAATTTATTAATTACTTACAAGGAGAAATTCGCTCTTGTGAAATAACATCAGTCAATAATTCAGCAAGTAATTTTTGATTGTGCGGATGACACCAACAACATTTTGAAAGAAATTTAATTGTAGCATTTTCCAATTTAGTGTACGATACATTTACTCTGAAAAATCGAAAATGTTTTAAAATTAATAAACTGTTAATTTCTTTAATGATCTTAAATAAAATATTTCTACATAATAATACTTACTCAGCAAAAGATGTAGATGGACTTTCAACAGGTTTGCTATTTAATAAAGTAACAAGAGGTAACCAAAAAATACGACCTTCTTCACCTAACCAATCTCGCATTTTACCCTCTGAACAAACTAAAGTTAAAAATTCAACTACTGTTGCAATACTATCTGGATTATACATATTCAGTCCACTAATATTCTGGGTTTGGTAAACGGTTTCACCAGCTTTATCATTATCAGTTAATCCACTATTTACATTACTTCTGCTATGACACTTATTAACATCAAGTGTACTATTTTGCTCTTTTATAATCTTCATATGAATTTTACAAAAGGCTACAATGGTATTAACTAAAAGAGATGGAAGACCTGAATCAATTAGTTGTTGAATTCCAGGAGTTGAACGTGCTGCAGTTGCAACAGTTAATAATTGTCCTTCGGTTAATTCTAGATGCTTACATTCAGATATATGTAAGCGACAATACCATTCTTCTGTATTAGCTTCACTTTTTTTATCATCCGTTTGACCATCACTTTCTTTGCGATCATCTGATACTGATGCAAATTGATCTGTCGCTAAATTCGGTACAAGAATACGAACTTTTTGCAAAAGTATAGTAAATAAAGATGGTCTGACATAACAAAAAGCGCATAGAGTCGCATCAATTGATTGTTTTAATGCAGAATTTGGTTGTAACAAAAGAGTCCATTGATAAAGAGAATCAAAAAGATCATCAGTTAACATACTTTCTAGATTATACGTACGATTTTCAATTTGTTGCGCTTCCCAAATTATTGTTGAAATACAATGAATATAAGCTGCAGGTGGATTGATAACGTTTGGATTATTGTGAGGAGCTTGTGTAATACTATTCATCGAAGATGTATGAAGCCATGTGAGTACAGCTATTATACGAGCTTCAGTATTATCATCTTGACTGTTACATAACTGTTGAAGTAGCTCTATTATTAATTGTATTATTGATGTTTTTTGAGATGATAAAGATTTTTGAAATAACAAGGTACATCGATTGTTTAAAAGTAAACTGATTAATTGAAGTCCAAGTTCACGAGAATGCAATCCAAGCTGTAGAAGAACTCTTTCTAAGTTAGATGTGAATAATGATGGCGCTGGAAGTAATAAAAGTGTACAACAGGCTTCAATAAGACCTGTCACTGATGCTGCAGAATCAAGTACACTCTGAGATAATGTTGAAGATAATGCACTGACTGAGAAACATTGATAAATCAGTCTCAGCCAACCTAAGCTCATTTTAGTCAGTTTTTCTTCATCGATAGTTTCATTTCGGGATTTAATATCACCAAATGCTGTTGTTCCCAAAATCCTGATTTGACTAAGACTGATATTAGTTGAATCTCGAGGTTTATAAAGACGTACTAAAACTGCTGATGTTACTTCTGGTTGCGCAAGAGTAAGTCGAATAAATGTTAAGCCAGCGGTAAGCATTGGAGGACAAATCGGTGTAAAATCAGAGTTGGCTTCTCGAGAAATCTCGAGCGCTACAGCTGAAGGACAGGTAACTAATGCTGTGAGATGAGGTTGAAGCTCTACTTCTTTTAAAAGAATAGCACATGGAAGTGTAATTGTGAGATCAATCCAAGCTTCACCTGGGAAAAAATGATAAGACCAAGCAGCAGTTCTTGCTCGTCTATGAGGTGCAGCACTTTGAATTAATACATCAGCTGGTTCTACCATAGGTTTTAACCACGATATTGTACCAAGAGGTGCAAAGTTTAATAATCCTTCTTCATGAGATTCTAAATTACTTGTTGGTTTTTTACTTGACGTACCAGTAGCTATTGCTAGGTTTGGTACATTTGATAGATGTTGCATTACAAGAGCAATAATTCCTGGTGTTAATATATTAGTGTTTTCGTATCCATAATTTGTACTACTAGATTTTACCATATTTTCACAGATTATTTTAACACCACCTAATTCAGTAAATATCGCTAAAGATGTTTCATTGTCTAAGACTTTTAGAATGTACCAAAGCAGTGGCTCTGAAAGTTGCATAACACCAAAATTATGGACCGTATTAATTTGTTCTTGAGAGGATGACAAATAGTGATACAATGGGTTTAATACAAATGTTGGATTCGTTGATTTCTTGACAAGAGTCATAAGAAGCTGAAAAGTAGCATCTGGAATAGAATTTGGATCACCAAGCTCAGGAACTGTGCTGGACGTAGAGTCTTCTCCAAATAACATTGCAAGTGATGAACCTGTACTGTGTCCTAATGCTCCAAGTAATCTTATCATTGTTGGCTCATGTTGTAAAACTGTGTCTGCGACACAAGGATGACGACGTTTAGAAGTTATACTTTGGTTTGATTTTATTGATGTTTGTTGTTCGGCGACTTTACTCTCATCTGTTTGTGAACTATTGAGTTTTTCACATTGGTCTATATTTCTTGTATCTGATTTTTGATTTATGTCACCAATTTCCATATTCATTGGATTTTCAACACGTGACAAACGTAGATTAGGCAACGGTGTTTGAACGAGTTTACAAACTAGTTTTACAAGAGCAACAATAAGTGCATCCCATGATGCAGGCCGTCCTTGTTTAGAAGTTGCGCCAAGAACGCCAGAAAAAAGTCCACCAAACCCACCAGATTGATTTGTTGAGTCTACAGCACCGCTACACTGTGCGCCGATTCTGGAAGTTTGAACGTAAGTAGAAACTAAAACTCCAACACATTCTGTTATACTCATGGCAGTTCCCAGGTCTGTATTCATGAAATTTAGGTTAATAAGAGAAGTTATGAGAATGCATTGTGCATCAAGAGGACCACGACGGGCGACAATAACACCTCCTGGTTGGATGAGTTCGTAAACGACCCATAGTAAAAGTTCTTTCAACGCATTGCCCAATACACTTCCCGGTGTAATTACATCACAACGCATCTCAAGTCGGAGCAAAAAATCTTGTAATGCTTCTCCTATTTTAGGACCAGCGATCATGCATTGTTTATCATGTGGTTCAATATTTAAACCATTACCAGAAAGAAGTCGTAAAAGTACTGGTCCTATATTACGATTTTTAACAATACAACAAGCCATACCACCTAGTAATCCGTCCAGAGGAGTATTTATACTTGGATCACTATGATCACTTGGCATTGGTTCATTACTTGCTAGTGTCAGAGTTTGTAGAGCAAGACACCATGCGCGTAAAGAAATTCCAGGATGCCAAAGAAGAGTTGATATAAGACCAGAAATTGCTGTGGAGCTAAGGGGGATAACTGGTACTAATGATGGATCAAATTGATTCGAAGTATTCGCAGACGGAGTTTTTGACGCATCTAAATTTAATGTTAACCACAATTGTAATATTAATTCTAAATTTATACCAGAATTTTGAAATGACATATCAGTAAATATTTTATCAAAGCATCGCATCAGCATCGATAGACTACTAGGTATTGAATCAGTAGAGGTTCTCATATCGTGATTTCTTTCTGTTGATCCAATATTTCTCAACAAAAACTGTTTTGATCTATTAGTTTCTATTGGCACTTGAATTGGTGCATTTATACTTCTCGGTAAATTATATGCTCCTAAAGTTGAATATCTTCTTAAGGCTATTTCTACTCCCATTTCTACACCATATTCTAACCGGGCATCAAGAGCTGAAGATATTCCTGAACTTGCTGATTGTGGAATTTTGGGAACAGAGTTTCCTTTTTTCAACATATTTCTTCCTTTTTCTAAAATGTCGTCGAGAAAATCTTCAAGTTCGCTATCATCAGATTCTAATAATGATGGCAAGTCAAATCCATTTGACTTTGAGGTTGATGGTGTAGGTGGAATCGTAGGAATACTATCTTGTGTATCTTCATCCACTTCACCTTCAGCGAATCCTTCGTCATTTCCCAATGTCGTTCCAGATCCACCTGTTCCCGCCGTTCCCGCTAAATCATCATCCCCTCCTTGTTCTTCTTCACTCTCAGCGGCATCAAAGTTTTCTTCCGTTTGTATATTATCTTGCATTGAAAACGGCTTTGAAAATAATCGTCCACTTTCAAACAAATCTTGTAAAAGACAAGTAACAGCATGTGACATCCAAGCTGCATCTGACTTGCTCATAGATAGTTTTATTAATTTTGATAGCTGATCTTCTGTCATTAAATCATTCAAACTGATTATAGGCCGTGTAGATATTACTAGTTTGGCAATTATTTTACAAGATAATAAAAACATATCTATATTTGCAGTGTTATGTAAAATTAAAGCTACGAGTCCTCTTACAACTGGTAATACAGATTGATATGACAAATTTAAAAGGTTGTCGACATCTGCGTCAAGAATATCTGACTTTGAATTTGATGCATTAGCATTACGACTTGAACGAGGTACATGGTGAAGATCGTTTCGTTTCATCATATCTCGAAAGTGTCGAAATGCTGAATGCTGTTTGAGGGTTTTCTTCAAGTGTTTTTCATGACTTTTTAGAACTTCTAACTTATTTGACAATGTAGAAATTGGTGGTCCACTCGACCAAACTAGACCTTGTGAAGTTGATACATGAATGTACTTTTTTCCTGGATCACCATCATGTAATTGTTGTTTGTGATGCATAAGTCGTTTTTGTAATTTTTTACGATAATTACGTGAAGCGTTTGTACGACTAGCATTGACGTATTTTCTTTGCATTGCTAACTCACCTTGTAAAAATTCCCAACGTGAAGAAATACCTTTAAATAATAATTATAAATTTCAATCAAGCATAAATATTATCAATCAAACATAAATAGTAATTCAGTAATTCATACCATGTTCTTTACTCTTTCCATTTTCGTCAGAATATGTATAGTAAGTGGTGGCTGTATCTAAACATACGGACAAAAATAAAAGGATCCAACCAATAAGATTTATATCTAACTGAGCTGCATTGGAAGGTTGATAATCAGACATTGGAATTAAAAATCTTCCCAATGTTCGAACCATTGCGTCAATTACTGACGATTTATTAGCTCCAGAATTGAGGGATTTTCGTCCAAGGAATGTTAATAATATGAATACCCTAAAAAATTATTTTAATTAATAATAAATCGAATGAAACTATCGAATCATTTATTTCTTAAAAATTATAAGAGTAATAATTAATCCTAAAGGATTGAAGATCTTAATTAATAATATTAAAAAATACATAACTAATGATAAAAATCAATTATATACCTATCTTGTGGAAAAATATCCGTGGAAGATGATGAATATAAATTAATCAATGTGTTAGATAAAAAATTACCCCACCATGGCTGATGTCCAGCCATACGAACTAATAAAGCAACTGCGTGAAGTTGCAATCGTGGAGCTGGAGTTACCACACAAATTGAGTGGAAAAATCGCTCACAAATGGATGGAGTAAAAATCTCACAGATAGATGATGGAACCTAAATTTATAACATTGATCAGTTATAAAATTATTCAATTTTGACAAAAAAAAAAAAATGAAAATAAATACGTACTGTTGGAATTGGTTCAATTTCATGTATAGTATAAAGGAGAATATCAGAAAGTGTTTCGCCAAGAATTCTTAATTTATCACTTGGAACACTTGACAATTGCGTTGTCAAAGGCATTTCAGCACCTTTCCAACTTTCCAGTCGACACCATACACCACGAATAATATTCAATTGGTGTTGAAATGCAATACATTCTTGATATGTAGATAAAATTTTACTCGATGGTTGTTCTTTATTTTCTGTAAGATTTTTACCTCGAGAAAGATAGTGTTGCATATGCACAACATTGGGTGTTTCAGTACATAATAATGGATCTAGTAGAGCTTTGAGTTTTTCAGTAGCTAAACTGAATCGACATTGGATGTCTTCAGCTAAAGTTGATAATATATTACATTGCGAATCAATAGTTGCAATCAAATTTGTATCATTACGATTAATATCATTTGATTGTGCATGGAACATGTCAGAATAATCTTCTCCTGGCAAAACTACTATGTGCCCATAAAACATTCCTAAAGGTATTTTACATCTTGTTGTTGTCATTCCATATCGACCTATTGTTGTGATTTTTAAAAATCTACATACTGGCGGCGGTTGAAGATCATTAACAATAAGAGGTTTTGTGCCAATGTCTCCAGCAACAACAAGTCTAATACCATCTTTTTCCTCATTCTTTGTCCAAATGTCTATTGAAAGTGAAACCAAATCACTACAAGAAGGTATCATCAAATCTGTAAGTAATACAGGAGAACCAAAATCTAAAACGATGAATCGCCGTGCTCCTGAATGCATCCTTTCCACGACTAAAGCTTGTTGTGATGGTAAGCTAAGTAATCGCGCCCATGGGAAATTGATTTCTTCACGCTAAAAATGTTTTTAATATTAATTTTAAGTTTTAATTAATTTTTATATTTAATTATTCACGTAATGAAATTAATTATACGTAAACTAGTAATTATTAATGGCGTAATGAATGTGAATATAATATCGATAAATATAGTTTTTTTTTTTTTTTTTTTTTTTTTTTTTTTTTTCAAGATAATTCAAACTAAAAGTAATTCATGTAAAATACATAGAAAAAAAATATATGATGGAGATAGAGATATCTAACTGAATGAAATCTAACCTTTTTTATATGATTATCATCGACATTGGACACAGTAGAATTGTTATTCAACGCGAAAGATTTTTCTTTTATAATAGAGGATGTTAAATTTTTTAAATTGGATGAATCAGTTTGATTGACGTGCCATTTTTGGTCATCTCTCGTCATATTCACTTCATCACTGTCCGATTGATCATCAGATATAATCGATAATTGTGTCGTTGGATTTTTATTCATTTCAGCTTTACAGTGAGTAAGTAGAGCTTTTAGATTCTGTTCGCACGTAGTTTTTAAATTTGACCCTAGCGATTCGGCTTCCAAACTCTATAATTTATACAATAATTTTTTTCACAATCTAGTGTTTTTCTAAAGTACCCAACTCAAAAAATTAAGGAAGTAGAAATTTTCATTAGGTGTCAATAAAAATTTTAATAAAAAATCTGTTAATTAAAAAACTTTAATTTCCATAGAAAGTAGACAGATTTAGAGGGTTTTGCAAAAATACCTGGATAATGACCAAAGAAAAATTTTATGGAAACTAAAAGGCGCTTCTCATACTAAAAAGAAGAGAAGTTTGCTAGCTTGATTCATAAGATTAATAATTATATAATAATAAAGATCTTAATCAACATTCTGAAAATTGGAAACTCACAGTAAAATGTTAGCTTTTGAAAAATTGAAAAGATCTACGTGTCTTCTTTCGTGGGCTTCATTCCAGCCAGTACTATACTAGTTTTTGATTTTAAAATTTATCAACAATACTTTTTTATGAGAGAAATAGTGAACTGAGTAAAGGAGTTATTTATGGAGTTTTTTTTAAGAATAAATGCATCAATACATTGTTATAAGAAACTCAATAGATATTGCAATTTTTGAATGAATTTTAAAATTAAATTTGTCGGTATTTTTAAAAAAAAAATTCAGTTGCGATCTAAAGGGTAAACGTTTTCCAGTTTTTTACAAATAGCTTTTAAATTACTTTGCCGATCAATTCTAAATTTTAATCAGCTCTTTTCTCAAATAGTGTGCCTAATGTTGCAACCCGGTTTAAAATTAATTAATTCGTTTGGTTAATTTCAGTCAAAAATAAAAAAAAAGTGTTTTTTTTTTTTTTTAAATAATCGTTTAACTTATCGACTGATCGATTTTCGCAAACCAATGGGTTTTAATTAATATGACATTAAAAATCGGATTTATTTTATTTCAAAGAGTATAGGGTAAAAGACCCCATTAGTGGCGGGGACCCCATTACTGACACTTTCTTAGATTTTGATACTTATTCAATTAATGAAATCATTAACTTCAATAATGAATATATTATTTCTAATCTTCAAGACCCTTAGATCAAAAAAATTTTTAATTTTTATTCCAAGTAGAACATTTTTTCATTGAAAGAAAAAGTGCCACTAATAGGGGTTAAAGGTGCCACTAATGGGGTCTTTTACCTTATCAAGTTTTCAACCTAATGAAATTTCAAGTCGATCGGTCGAGTCATTTCAAAGATATTCGACTAAAACTTTTTTAATCCACTCATGTATTTAAAATTTTTTTTCTTGAAAACAGCGGTAAATTTAATCATTACTACACGAGATAGCGTACTTTACATAATCTTTAGATATGCGTTTAATATTTGAAATAACGATACATATATTTTTTTTAGAATATCTTTGAATGAAGATCCGAAAAAAAAAAAAAAATGAAATTTTGTTTCATGTACTCAATTATATTGTAATGAATATAAATGTACTTACATAAGATGGCTGAACAGTTTTGAGATCTGGAACACCATTATTCGTGACATTATCATACAGACTTGTGAAATTAACAGTATTTCCCACTGGATCCATTTTTTCCATTTTGGTACCGTCAGAAACGGAATGGCATGTGAAATGTAATGGTTCAGCCTATAGAACAGATTAATTAATAGCCTTTCTCAAATTGTTGATCGAATAGTTTATAAAAAAATATTGTTACCTCTAATAAACCTTTCGTGCTATGATTTGTATACAAAGATTTTAGTTTGTTCGGCACAACAAGTTCACTATTTGAATGTATTGGTAATGTTAGTAAATCTCGTAAATCAATATGATCCTGTGAATACATATCACCACTTGATATGGTAGACGAAGTTTGTTCACCAGTTACGACTGATGCATAAGTTAATGGTAAAGAATTGGATTTAAGAGGCATTGGAGTTTCAATGTCGAATAATTTTGTCTCAAATGGATTATTATATAAACCAAATCTGAAAATTTATAATTATTATATTTTTGAGAGCAAAAAAATTTTTATATTTTAAATTTCTTAAAGGAATTACCTGGTTGCAAGTAATAAGTGGTATGGATTAACTCGATTTGACATTTCTCCAGCAATTCGTTGAAGAATTATAATGCATTGTTGTGTGACATTGTGATTTTGATCAAGTGGTAAAAGTCGGTTAATTAAAACTGTTAACCAACGTAAAGATCCTGCCCATCGGATACTAATAATTGAAGGCAGGAGTGTGATAAGAACAGATAATACAGCTTCATCAAATGAATTCAAAGTATTATCATCTAGATTTTTTAAACCTCTGAAAGCAAAATAACACAATTTATATTGTAACAAAAAAAAATTAATGGAAAAATAAAAAAAAATCATAATTATTAGTTTAAAAGGTTTTAAGATGTCACGTTTACTTACTCACTGCATATAATTATTAACTTAACGCACTTATGAGCTATAGATCTACCAGCATGGAAAAGACAAGTGCGTAGAAGTTCTGGTAAATGTACTTGAATACATCGAATTGTATCCAATTGAAAAGCTTTTGTTTCCACAACATTTTGTCCGACACGTAGTCTTAAAAGTCTGATAGATGTTACCCATATTAGAATATCCAATGCAAGTGATTGCATGATAAGTGATCTATAAAAAAAAATTTTTTTTTTTCTTTAGACAAAAACGTTATTTTTACATAATATTAATATTTAATATAATAGATTAATATAATAGATACTTATCAGCCCCTTGTAAACATGCGATGTTTACTAAATTTTCTGTAAATAACGATGAGTCTAACATTGCCCATCGCTGAGTACGTTCATTCGGAATACTTGTAGATTGAACAGTTCTTACAGTAATTGAAATTTCATGAATCCAATCACATCCAATATAATATTCCAACTTTTTATGAGCATTAGCTGCAAACCTTTCAACGTTAGTACCAGGAAAAAAAGGCCCAGCATCATCTATTCTTTGTTTCTTCGTTGTTGGAGGTTTGTTATCAAGTAAATTGACTCGAGATTTTGAGGTAGATGTTCCACCATCTTTAACTGGATCAATTAGCGCTTTAATATGGACAAGTAGTGTTCTTGCCTTAGTACGAAAGAGTTTCGGACTAGTGAGAGTTATACAGCCTGAATGATCAGAAAGATCCATACAATGTTTTAAATTTATTGGTCCACAAAGAATTTCTGTGTTGTGTTGTCGTTGAAATTCTTCACTGACAATGGGATTTTCTCCTTTTTGCTCATTATTTAAATTAAACTGTATTTTTTCATCAACTGGAGTTAAATGTGATTTTTGATGTCCAAGACCCGTGATATTTTGTTTAAGAAGAGTCACTTGAATATTAGGTGGCTCAAGACATGGAGAATGAAGACTGAATCGAACATCTATGTGTCCGATATTTCCAACTACTTTTCTGGGTAATGTAATTTCAAATATATGCTCATCCCACGTGGTAGAATCATTTTGAAGTCGCCATGTGCGTGTATGATGTTGATTTTCAGATTGATGTAAATGTTGTGGGTAGCGTCTTTGCCGTTGAGCTTGCATCATTTCACTCCAACATGAAGGGACTGTTGCACTGTATGCAGGAGACTGTCTATCAAAGCGTGTTAAATCATATAAACTTCGTAAATCTGAGCAGGTTAAATTTGGCCTGTGCGCAATTATTAATTCTTGATAAATTGTTGAAGAAGTCGAAGTACTTGGCGCAGTTTGCTCATGATTTAATACTGCAGATTCTGTGACCATCATGTTTATGTCATCAATGTCATCCTTTCCTTCTAAAGAATCATCTTCATCAGCTGTAATGAAAAATCGTAGAGTTCCATTACTCGTACAAACACATAATCGTTCTAGTCGACTGCAATACGTTGCAGATATGAATTTTTCTCCCTCTGGTCGAGATTCAGATACTATTTTTAGGGTCGCTAAGTTTAATATTCTTACTACGCCGTCTTTACAGACTAAAGCTACTTGACCCCGTGGTTCATTAATATTTATATTACTTTTACTTGATGAATATGATTTGTATTTTTCTTGTAACGGTAAAAACACATGCGCTGTAGGTGTTTGATTTGCTGATAATTCGCGTTTAACAACAGGTTCAGTTATAATTTTAGGAACTTTTTCTGAAAAATCTAAAGCATAAACTAATAGTAAAGCTTTTGCAGAATCTACAAAATTATGATTTTCACTATTTATTGTTTTGTTCTCTGATGAATCATCATTTTGATCCCAATACATGTAACTTTTTGAAGAAAAAATTTCACTTTCTTCATCAACATCCATTTTATTTGTGTTGGAAGGTGAGTCTGAAGTAGTATGTTCTGTTGATTGGTAGGTAAGTGCAACATATAGATGTTTACCGTCTTTAGTAGGTCCAACAAAAGTTATACGTAAAGAAGGATCTGCATCAATTACGAAACTTTGTAAGACTATAGGATCAGACTTCACATTTTTTGTTACGTCTAACACTTTTTTATGAATTTCCGAGACGTCTGATGTAGAAGCTAGTTGATCAGGTTCATTGATAAGATTAAAATTAGCATCATAAGGAGTAGAACTTGTCGTGGAAGGTTGTACATATAACCCAAGTGAAGCTGGATACAATGTGTTTGATGAAGATGCATTCAAACTACCATCTTTATTTGAAAAAATTCCATCAAAATGTGCACCCACTATCATGTCTGAATCTACTTCTTCTATTACTGGAACTTCATAGAGTAATTTACTCATACATAGCTCTTGATAAAGGCTATCTTGACGACCACTTGTAGAACTGGAACTAGTTCCAGTGCCTGAAGGTGTTTTTTTGATTTTCAAATGTTTTTCAACATTTTCTTTGTTTACTTTCGATGTTGCGACTTTGTGGTGAAAATCATAAAGAACAATATAATGAGATTTAGCAGATTCATGGTTATCACTTGCAATTTTCATTATGTCTAAACTATCACTGGCAGCACTATTAACACTATTCATTGCACGGACTAATGATGAAGATGTCGCCATGTCAGTACTTGCCCAAACATTCTCCAGTGTCCGTAGGTGTGAAGAACTATTGACGGAATTCATGACAGAAATTCCACATACTAAACATGATATAATATTCATGTCCGTACATTCTGGAATTGTGGCAGAATTAGTAGAGGCTGATTTAAATTTTGGTTCATCTACGTTTAACGGACCGCCTATAATTGATAGCGCTGTTAAGTGAACTTTATGAAAATTTACACTTTTGAAATCACCCAGGGATTCACCCTCAGAGTTGAGGTTTGACAAATAAGTATTCGATAAGTTTTTTGTAGCGTAAAATTGTAAAGAATCTACATTATTAGTATCTTGATTACATGATCTAATGTAAAATGATGTTTCACTCTGTAAGAATAACCATCATAAATTATAGTTATGAATAACAAATAAATAAATTAAAATAATTAATAAATGATACCTTTAATTGACTGTTAATATCCCAAATATGAACAAAACCACTATGAGATGCCGTTGCAATAAGTCCGGGAACGTTTGTTGTACTGATAATTTCAACGTTTGATTCACAGGCAGGGGCTGTAGCAAGGGTAACTGATAATGGAACATTTTGCGTATATTCCCCCCTAACAAAGGGACAAGTAGGTGAATGACGCTCGTGTTCAGACCAAGGCTCATCAGTCGGTTCCCAGCATACTAAACAAACATTACATGTGAAGCACATCGCTCTATCTTCAGCTGTTGCGTTTGGTTCGTAATAAAATCCCGCTTGTGCCATCTGACCAGGTAAAGCCCACCTGAGAAACATTTCTCGGTTATTATATCTGTTAGTAATAATAATAATTGAGATATATATATATAACAAAACAAACACATACCAGCATTACCTATTGCTTCTGCTATTAATGAACGTCTCAACGGCCTACTTCCTGGCTTTATTTCGGAAAATGGACCAGCTGACAAAGCTCCGATGTTCAGTGAAGCAGCTAGACGAGAAACATTTTTAAAATGGCCTCACATGAATTACAAGTAAGTTCATAAAATGAAAGTGGTTAAATAATTTAATTTTTATATTTCTTGTTTAATATAAAATGTATATATATATATATATATATATATATATACATTTTATATTAAACAAGAAATATAAAAATTAAATTATTTAACCACTTTCATTTTATGAACTTACTTGTAATTCATGTGAGGCCATTTTAAAAATGTTTCTCGTCTAGCTGCTTCACTGAACATCGGAGCTTTGTCAGCTGGTCCATTTTCCGAAATAAAGCCAGGAAGTAGGCCGTTGAGACGTTCATTAATAGCAGAAGCAATAGGTAATGCTGGTATGTGTTTGTTTTGTTTTTTTAATTCGGTCACTAGCCCGGAACATACAAGCTTGAGTACTCCATGGGGCAGTTCGAGACAAATTATATTCCACTGTAATTTATAAAAATAATAACCATTAAATTAATAATAAATTAATTTAGGTATTTGAGTAAAATGAAATTAAATTGTTACTTTTTGAGCTTTGATGCCTTTTTTTTGAGTTTCTTGTGCAACAAGAATTTTATTCCACAATTCCTGTAGTACACTGTGCACGTGATCAACTCCAGGTAGATCTACCAATCTAAGACACTGATGCAATAAACAAGCTTCAGAAAGCAACAATTCTAATTTTATTATATCTTCACTTCTGGAGACTGGTGTTTGTAGTATAGTATCCAACAATAAAACACCGTTGTAATCACTTCTGACGCCAATTCCTTTGCCATTTGTATACAATATTTTGTCTACACCATCGGCGAGATAAACTCCCAGTAATTTTCCATCAGCTTTATCTGTAATGGTGAAAAAATTTCAATATGAATAATCACAAATTTATTTGAGATTTATAATTTCATTCATGGAATAAAAAATAAATAAAAGTCAAAAATGCAACTATTGATCGGTTTTTATATAATTAAGTTCATAAAATAAATTGTTTATCGTAGTTGAAATTATTTATGACAAATTTCTTGGAAAATGATAATTGAAAAGATGTTAGAAAACTTAAGTTATGTCTCATTTTTAACATAAACTGTTGACCTTGAAAGTAAAAAAAAATGTTATTGTAAGTTCAAGTGATACATAAAAATATTACAATATATGAAACAAGAGAACAATGATAAAAGCTGTTTGGATTAGAGAACAAGTTGAATATAATAAATATAGTGACAAAAATTATACCTGATATGATACTTCGTTGTAGAATTACCCCGAAATTGACATCAAACACGTATACTTGCGCATTACTAGTTGTTATCAGCAATACGTTTAAATTAGGATGATAGATTATACTTCTGCATTCAGCATCTATATTAAGATAGCCGTCTTCTTTTAATAAACTTGAATCATCATCAGCCATTTCGCTAATATAAATAAATAGTTTCAAAAAAATAGTCTAATGCTCGTACATCACGGAAAACATGGCGTTCTAATAGCCACCATGTTTTAAGGAGAATGTCAGTAGATTGTACACTGAAGTTGCTCGACTATCGAGCAATCGATATATTTAAATCATTTAAATGAAATAGAACTGAAGTGAGCTGAAACTGACAAGTTTTGTATATAGTTTTTTCTAGAGCAAATTTTTTAATTACGTATAAAATTATCTAAAATTATTATTGTAAACTGTATTTTATAATTTTTTAATATCAGATAGATGATAATATTTTGGATTTAATGAGTGGCTCTTAAGAATGGGCAGTTCTTAATATATTTTTAAGAATTTTATTTTTCTAATTAGGTTTCAAACAAAATTTAGAATTAAATAAGAGAAAATTCCTAACAAATAAAAATACAAGATAAGTTATTACGATTATTTATATAACTTTAATTGGCAATTTTTTCAAAGAAACGTTAAAAAAGAAATTTCTGATATTTAGTAATGTCCAGTCTTAAAAATAAAAAAAAAAAAATTATTGGGAAAAAAAATTTTGACGTGTATAAATGCTACAGTTTAAAAAAATAGATACAAATTTTTAAGATAATTTTTTCTTGATGCTTGATAAATATTGAATATTTTGATATTAATATATAATTAATTAAATAAAACGTGTGTGTAACTAAAATTCTCTATGCAGTCGGTGTTAGGTTCTAAGCTAGGTATTTTCTAAAGTTACTAAATATAAAAATGCTGCCACCTTATGGAATAGAGGTGCATTCTGAAATTTGTTACGAGATCTACGAGAATGGCATGTTGGTATTACTTCGCACAGGAACAAAGTTTAAATTTCAATACCAATGGTCATAAACCATTGAATAATTGATACTAAAATTAGTCGACGTTTTTAATTATTTGATTTTTTTTTAATAATTAAATTAAAACAGAAAAATATTTTTAAAAAATTTCACTTACAGTTTTTGAAGTTTTTTACAAGTGACATTTTTTTTTTAATTTTTTTGTAGTAAATTTTTTAATAAAAAAAAATTCTAAAAATTTTCAAATGTCGGCTAACTTAATTTTCATATTGAATATCGTAAAAAAAAGAAGATTTTGATTGAAAGATTTTCACAAATAAAGTCAAGTATCAGTAGAAATATTTCAGTATATATTGTTATTTAGATTGTTAGGTTACAGGTTCATAATTCTTTATGCGGTAAAGTACGTAAATTTTCGTCGGTAATTTAAAACAATAAATATAGATTCATAAGGCAAAATTAGATTCGTATGTTAAAATTATTATTTTCAGAATCATAAATATTGTTTAAAAAGAAAATTTTAATAACAATATATGATTTTATAATACAATAGCAATATTTTTTTTTCTTCTAAAAACTCATTAATCGTTGAAAATAGGATGAAGAGTCATATCACACCTCATTAAAATTTCTTCATTATTAATTATTTTATTTTTAGTAGCACATTTCTATAGACGTTTTGAATTAACATTAAAGCCAACATGTATAATAAAATATATGTTAGGAAACAATCTTAAGATAGTCAAATTATGAGTCTCATTTTAGATTTTATTTGAAAAACTTTTGGTTTTAAGAAGTAAAACGACGTGCCATAGATTTAGATCAATATTTATAAAGTATCGAGTATAATTTTCAACCTGCCAGACTGTTAACATTATAATTCACTAAGAAAAAATTAAACTAAATACACATAGAGATTTCTAATAATTATTATAAAAATTATAATTTTTAACGAACAATTTAATAGATATTGATTATTATTATTATTATTATTTTGATGTATTTATTTATTCCATAATTTTTAAATTCATATCTCAACTAGTTATTTTTACATAGAAATTTATGGATATGAAAATTTTCTCAAATTTTGAGAAGATTTCCAAAGAGTTCTGTTATCTCATGACCCTAGCATCTTAAAGTATAAAAAAAATCATATCGGAAAACAATTTCTTAATTATTGCTTTCCTTTCAAACGTTCACGATTTTTAATCACTTTTTAGCAGCAATTTTATTTTAAAATTATATAAACTTACGTAATTAAATTATCTTTGATTCAACAGAGTTCCAAATCTTGTGCGATGATTTTTCATTGAGTGATATCGTTCAAGCAAACAATTTTTTTCGATAATGTTAACATGAACCTTTTTTAAATCGGTTTATTTTCTTTGATCTGAGTTATAGCTTCGAATTTTATACAAATTCTTGCAGAGTTAAACACTTAAAAAAAAAACAATTATCTCAAATGATTAGGCAATCATGTATAATTTTATATTATTATCTGAAAATTGGTTAAGTCAGGTGATATTATTTTATTTATTTATTTTAGCCTGACGGCCTAGAAATGGACTTAGTAGAAAAATACTTAATTAACATCTCTCTTATTGTCTACATATCATTGCATCATTTAATGTTAAAGAAAATTAAAAATAAATAGAATCAAGTTTTGAATTTTTTTTTCAAAAACTGATTAGAAAAATAAACAAAAAAGTTTGTATTTAATGAAATAATTGAGAGTGCCATGTACTTTAGATTTCACTTTGAAATATTGCCAGTATTATCCTTGTATACAAATTTCTTATGACAATGCAATAAAATGACGAAATTGACTCTAAACTGTGGCATGAGATATTCTCAATACCTATATCAATTTAAAATTAAAAATTTTTAGTTGTGATTTAAAAAATGTATTTAATAAAATTTTAAAATAAGCAAGAAGAAATTTGAGTCTGTAAACTAGAACCCTAAAATAAATCATCATTTTCCTCGAAGTAGACTTTTATCAAAAATCAAATTTTATTTTTGATTTGAAAATATAACAAATGACACTATGAAAATTATGTCATAACTAAACCTACAATTATGTTGTAATTTTATATTTTAATACTATTATATTTTTATTGGTATGGAATACGATTTCGATTATAATAATATTTGTTGAAATAATAGAAATTTTTCATATTATTTAAATCAATGGAATGCGATATTCTGAGAAAACCTATATGTGTTTGTGATTCTGACCACAAATCACTACCTTCTCTTTCCATTTCTCTGATAAATTTTCCAAAACATCTTTCATCTTTTAAAATCCCCGAAATTCGTTGTTGCTGTTGTATTTGCAAGCCACTTCAAGATGACTCAAAGAAAAGTGACATACATGACCTTGGGTTCGCATTACGTAAACTTGAAGTAATGAAGTGTCAAATAAAAAAATGGCGAGATGAAAAATTGCAATTAGAAAGTGAAATACGAGCTCTTAAACATGCACTGCAGTCACGCGGTAAGTCTCTATCATATCGATGGAAAAATTTATTTAAAATTTCTATATGTATTTTAATAATCATACGAATTACGAAAATAATTTCCAAACAACAGTCAATAAAATTCCAAATCATTTATTTGTAAGACATAAATATGGTCCAATATAACGGATACAAGCAATATATAATACGAGTCATTCATTTTTGATGAGACATTCTATTTTTATTTTGTCCATAATTTCAACGTTAGATTTGTAATAAACACATCTTCAATTAAAAATGATCGTAATTGACACAAGCTGGACGAGTCTTTTTTCTACGGAAGTGGACGATATAATATTTTCACGGTTACTTAAAACTATAAGTGAAAATTATTCGGTAACATTTTGACAGACCTGCTATATCCAAGTCCCCTGTCACTGACAGTTAAGGTCCAAATGGATATGATTTCATATTGATTTCGGTTAGGTACCGTTACGCAAGGACTCTCGGAACCAAAAAATTAATACCGGCATCGTCTTTGATCATATTATTTATGACGACGTTTCGTTGAGTGGAAGTGGGTGTGCCGATAGGTAAGAGTGTATCTCACAAGGTCTCAACATCTTCGGAAAGCAGGCATAGGTTTTATTAAGTAGTTCATTTGTATGTCTTCTCAATCTATAGAATCAATATTTTTAGCAAGCACTCGATAGCTGTTAACATACAGTTGTATGCATTGTGTGAAATTTTGAAGTACAAGTCAATAAATTGCCCTTTTTGAGTTCCTGTATCGTTGAATGATATTGTTTTCTGAGAAGTTGTCATTGTAATCAAGATTAAATTTTGCAAAAGTTGAAAATGTTTTTAATCCTCCATACCGTTCAAATCACTCCAGGTCGTTGTGCGTAAGTTGCGACAAAGTAATTTCTGTACACTGATAAAAAAATTAACTTGACTCAAAAGCCAAAATCTTGAACCAAGAATACCATTTTGAAGAAAATGATTTTCTTGAGTCAAGAAAATCAAAAATTTTTTTTTATGAATAATTTAAATACTTTGTTGGATTTCTAGGAAAATTAAAATTATTGATACACGAACTAAATTAGTCAGGGGACGAGGTATACCTTTCCTATAGGAAAGAGATGTTTTGCACATTTAGGGTATTGTAACTAATAAATTACGTAAATTTGAGTAATGCATTTCAGTGATCATCAACAAGATAGTGAGTTCTAAAAGATAATAATATTATTAAAAACTATTTAAAAAAAATTGATTTTTTTGCGTAAACATTCAAAGTACCTCTTTACTTAGAATAACCCAGATGGTAGTCATAGCAGCATACTCAAGTCCCCATTTTACATGTATGAGACGAAGAAGGTGACAAAATGTCCATATATAGTTAATTTTGCGCGGCTTGTGTTAATATACTATTCTTTTAACAAAATTAAAGACATGACAGCAGAGCTTTTGATCATGATTCGTTAATCTTGAACTCGAAAAATATAAGGAAGAAATGTAATTATAATTAGATATTATAATAAGTTAATAACAATATACTATTAATCAATATTATACAATAGAAAAAATAAAAAAACGAAGAAAATTTTTTTAATAATTTTTTCTATAAAAACAATTTTTTTAATTTCGTTACTCTCAGTACTTGTATTATTTATCAAACGAAGAATTCTAGATATAATTTTTCATC